TACCTTATTTACTGGCGCAAATGCAATTGCAGACTGCAACCGCACTTTACAAAGTGTACAGACTATTTTGCCGTTAGTAAATCAACACTACTGTACTAGAGGGTATCCCTCTTTCTTATCTCCAAATTTTTGAGGTACAGAAAAGTCACAAAAAAAAACAACCACAGTCCAAACTGCAGATATGGATAAATGGACCCTTATAGTTTTGACAAACCATACTGCTGTGTACACTGTGCTGTAACCTGTGCTTTGCCAGTGAAGGCACATGGACACTTGGATGATAAGGAATCGAGGCCAGAATCTGTGCAATTCTGCCTTTGATTTCAAGTCACGCCCAAACACGCAATACATATTTGGGTGCCAGTGCGATTTTGCCAAAAATGCCAGTGGCAGAACGTGTGTAAAATCAAGCTTGTTTCAGGACTAGAATTTGGTCCCTGAGCTTATTTGACATAACAAATGTGCACATGGCAGCCCATTCAAATGACTGGGCTGCCCTATGCCTGACATGTTGAAACGTGTGTGAATCACGCTTTTCAAATCTCTTGCAGGAACTTGCATTCCTGCTAAACCAATAGGTGAACAGGCCTTAATTAAAGTGTTACTAAATACATCTTTTTTTAAATATATATAATAAAATATTATTGCATAGAGTGGCCCTGAACTTCCTCTACTGGGGTCCCTCGCTGACGATTTTGGTACCTCCTCTTCTCGCTTGCTATGGGGGCACACATTGCTCCCTCCTGAGCTGTGTTTGTCTATGGAGCCATGCTCCATAGACACACTCACCGCGGCTTGGCCCTGTCCCCCACTTCCTCCACACTGCATTTGATTGACAACAGCAGGAGCCAATGTCTCCTGCTGCTGCCCGAGTGTAAAGAAGAAGAGAGCAGAGAAGAAATCCAGCCATGCACAACACTGGATCCATTGATGACTATGGTAAATACTTGGGGGGGAGCAAGCTGTAAAATGCTTTTTATCTCATTGCAGGTAATACATTAAGGTGAAAAATGTTTAGGCTTTAGAAGCACCTTAATGATATATCGCCTCTGCAATTGAATCTGTTAGGGATTATCACACTGGTCAAAATGCCATTAAATGCACACAGCATGAGACACTGTTTCAAACTAATGGCTGTATAGTGTGTTGGCTGAACACAATCAACAACTTGCTTCTCACAAGATTGAAAAAGTAATGGGGTCTTTGAAGCTTTCTGGTATCATGGCTGTGGACATTATAAGCTTAGCTTCTGCCAAAGCCTACTGGGCTAAGTGTGATATTTATTGCACATAATGGTCATTAAGGTGTCTTTTTATTAAGTTTTAATCCGTGTTTCATTTAAATTTTACCCAAGAGTTTTCAAAGGTTTTGTAAATAGGTTTCAGTTAGAAACTGTGCAAATCTTGTATGAAAACATTAATAAATACACTCCTAGGGGTCCACACCCGAGAATTTCAAATGTTCAAATCCCAAGGTCTTTGTCGGAATTTAAAAAATTACATCTGAGAAGAAGAAGGAGAGGTTTGAAGAAACAGCAGTTATTGGGATTTTATTTTGTATAGTGTAAACAAAAAAAAACAACAGTCAGAACAATTGCTACAAATAAAATGAAAGAAAAGTATTGATTGGAAAGGTGAGAAGCAATACAGAACAAAGTATTAAATGCCTAATAATGTAAAGGTTCCAAACCATAGGAAGCAGCAGCAAGTTGTCAAGTCAATAAGACAGTTGTTTTCCTAGATAAGGACCATGATGCCATACTAACAAATTTGTAGCAGAGATTTGTAGCAGCTTTCTTTCATTCTCAGGTAATATGTACCTAGCTACAGAGTTACGGCTGTAACGGACTACAATGCTTAACTATAAAGTTAAAAACTGGTGGTGTGCCATGGACATTGGTGGCTGCATTGGATAACATAAGTAGCTACTGAAACAATTGATTGTGTGGCTAGCTTCAAATGATACAGAAAGTCAATTGCTTAGTGAATGAGCTACAACATGCTTATTGACATTTCAACAAGAAAACTAAGAAATGGTCTACGGCAAAGTTTATTCACCACATTTCAACCACTTCAGCTCCAGGAGACTTACCCCCCTTCCTGCCCAGTCCATTTTTTGCGATACAGCACTGCATTACTTTAACTGACAATTGCGCAGTCATGAAAAGCTGTACCCAAATTAAATTTATGTCCTCTTTCCCCCCACATATAGAGATTTTGTTTGATGATATTTTATCACCTCTGCGGTTTTTATTTTCTGCATTATAAACAAAAAAAAACGTATACCAGTAAAAAAAATTTAAAAAATCTAATTTCTTCATAAATTTGGGCCAAAATGTATTCTGCTACATATTTTTGGTAAAGAAAATCCCAATAAGCGTATTTTGATTAGTTTGCACTTTTTTTTTACACTAACACTTTGTGGGAACCAGTGACACTAATACAGTGATCAGTGCTAAATATATACACTGATCACTGCTAAAAATATACACTGATCACTGTACTGATGACACTGGTTGGGAAGGGGTTAACATCTAGGGCAGGGGTCTGCAACCTTTAAGACATAAAGAGCCACTTGGACCCGTTTCCGAGAGGGAAAAAAAACTGGGAGCCGCAAAACCATTGCAACATTTAAAACAAATCCGACACTGCATATATTGCAAAAAGCGCTCTTGTCATGAAGGGGGTTTAAGGGCCCAGTAAGCAAAGGGTTAATCAGGGCCACAGTGTATCATCATAATCACAATCAAGTGGTGGGCAACCTTTTTTTTCAACTGAGCCAAATCTCGCCAAAACCACGATTGAAATTTATTTTGAGAGCCACATTTTTAAAACTGAAAATACATCCCCCATATAGTAATTCATCCCCCATAGTAATTCATCCCCCATAGTAATTCATCCCCCATATAGTAATTCATCCCCCATAGTAATTCATCCCCCATATAGTAATTCATCCCCCATATAGTAATTAATCCCCCATAGTAATTCATCCCCCATATAGTACTTCATCCCCCATAGTAATTCATCCCCCATATAGTACTTCATCCCCCATAGTAATTCATCCCCCATATAGTAATTCATCCCCCATATAGTAATTCATCCCCCATAGTAATTCATCCCCCATATAGTAATTCATCCCCCATAGTAATTCATCCCCCATATAGTAATTCATCCCCCATAGTAATTCATCCCCCATATAGTAATTCATCCCCCATATAGTAATTAATCCCCCATATAGTAATTAATCCCCCATAGTAATTTCATCCCCCATAGTAATTCATCCCCCATAGTAATTCATCCCCCATATAGTAATTCATCCCCCATATTCATTCATCCCCCATATTCATTCATCCCCCATATTAAGTCCCCAAGTCCCCCCTGTGTCAATTCACTTACCTTTGCTCCGCGCGTTCCTCTCGCCATGTTCCCGCGCCGTTCCGGTGTAGCATGAAAATCTGTCTCCTATGAGGATCTGTCCCCCTCGACGTATCTGCGCATGTGCCAGTTTTCAGGCATTAGCAGCCGATCGGCGATCTCCGGCACATGCGCAGATACGTCGAGGGGGACAGATCTTCATAGGAGACAGATTTTCATGCTACACCGGTCTTCAGGGCGGACTGTGAGAGGAGCCTAGCGGGAGCCTAGCTCCGCGGGCCGGATTAAAAGGTCCGCCGGGCCGTAGTTTGCCCATTGCTGCCCTATTGCCTGTCACCTGGTGGGCAGTGTGCTCCGGAGCCACAGCCAAGGTGAAAAAGAGCCGCGGGTTGCCGACATCCGATCTAGGGTGATCAAAGGGCTAAGTGTGTGCCTAGCTATGTACTTGGTGTACACTAGGTGGTGCTGGTGCAAGGGAAAGTCATGGATCGTGTTCCCAGCTCTGTTCTGACACACGGTCAATCACTCCCCCAGTCACAACAGAGCTCTGCCTTTGTAAACATAGGCAGAGCTCTGTTGTTTTTCCCTGCCTGACGATCTGCGGGAATCGCAGATCGGCTTCTTCTGTGACAGTTCACAGCAGAAACTATCTGCTAAAAAACTGCTATAGGGCAGTTCTCAAGTGGTTAATACTACCGCATACCTGACTACAAACTCTTTACAGACTTTCCATGGCAGTAAATCTACTGATGATAGCATGTGGTTACTCTCAGTGTGCTGCAGGTTTTTTGCAGTGCTCAGAGACCTTTTTGCTCATGGACAAGTGATTGTTTTATGGACCAAATAAAGTTCACTAAGGTAATTTCCTCACTCTCTGATTTTCTAATGTTCAACCTCCATTTGCTGCCTACATATACTGTGTAATGACTGTAGGTAGGCATACTGTACTAAATACTAAACATGCACTGCAAGCAAGTTAAATAAATATACATAAAACTATCTTACCGAAATATTACAAAGGAAGAGAAAGGCTGCAATGTTCTTGAGGATTCTTCTTTTTTTGTTAAGTTTCTCTGATCTTGCTGCCTGCATAGCAATAGCTGAAGGAGAAAGTCTAATGGAATTATTGTTTTCAGGACACTTTTTATCTTCTGTTGAAGCTTCTCCTAATGATAGTTCTGAATTGGACATGTAAGGAAATTCCTTGTTGCAGATGGTGACTGACTCATTGCAAACTTCATATGAAGGTGTCAGGGACAAAGTACTCCTGCTGGACATGGAGAAGATTCTTTCAAGAGTTCGACCATCTATCGGCTCTTCTTCTTTTCGGTGTATACACTCAATGATGAAAAGGTTCTGTATGTATTTTTCAATAATTACCAGGATGGAATAGGGCAAGTTGTACCATGAGTATTCAGGACGGTTCTCTGCACAAATAATAGCCAAGATAGATCCCCATGAGATTAACCATGACCCACACGATGAACCAACCAGAAGATCAGAGTCCAACTTCTTGGCTGGGCTTTCAGCATCATCCAATGACTTATTCTCCATTCTGTATATGATAAGTCCAATAATCCCAGATGTACACATGAGTGTCAACACTGTGATGGCAAATAAATAAAACATGGTTAGGGCAAGTTCACTTTTGCTCTTTGAACGTCCAATCTGGATGAGATACACAACCAGGACAGCGATAGTGGTTGTAAGAACTATCAGCCCCAGTATGGTACCGGCTGTTATACCATGGAACTTGAAGTGAATCTTCTGCTGTTGTTGGTGTTTTTTACATGGCGCCCAATATTTTTCCATAGGACATAAAGCATTGTAGAGGCTAATATATGATACTCAATAGTGAATGGATATAAGTAGTATATTCCTTGTGAAAACATGGAACACACATTTGATGTGCAGTTGCATTCTGGTGTATGGTGATCTGTAAAGCAGATAAAAAAAATTAAATCTAAACTTCAAAAGTGAACTTCTGTTTGAATTTATCAATATTCACTTATTCAGAACAGGCTGTACTAGGGCTGCTAATCAGATTCAGAATCATCAAGTTAGCCATGCTGAGATGTGTTGATAAAGAAGGCCAATGGATATAAAACAACTTTAGTTCCATTGTTAGGTACAACTGAGCTATGGCCAATAACTAGCATGCAGCAAAATTTGTGTAACATAAATAAATAAGCAGCAAGGCATCTCTGACTTCTACAATAAATATCCAGATTGTTCTGTTTAAGTTACCAAAACAACATACACTCTTTGGTCAGACCAATGACACAAAAAGTAATCAAGCCACTGGATCAACATGTAAGTCAGGCAGTTAGCATTTTAGAAGGTAAAGTGAGCAATGGCAGCATCATTTTTCTTAGTACAGGTTTAAATTAATAAATCACTGGCAAGAACGTAGAGTATTTTTACAAATTAAATTAGCAGGTGCACTGGGGCATATAGGAGGAACCAGGGTGTTGAAGGGTGCACTTGAAGTCATAGAGGCTAAATGGGACCACAGCAGTCACTGAGGCACACAGAAGAGTGCTGGAGGCACAGGGGTGCTCAGGGATACAATGGAGGGTGCCCAAGGGAGAACTTGGAATCATGGATGCACACAGGAGTGTGCTATAGGCACAATGGTACCTGAGGGAACACTTGGACATATGAAGGCACACAGATGTGCACTGGAGACACTAGGACACAACACCATGCACTTGAAGACATGAGAGGCACACATAGCACAGTGGGAAGCACAGAGGTACACAGGGGCTTGCAAGTACACTAGAGGTACAGGCAGCTGAAGAGGCACTGAGAACACTAAAACTCAGACCCCAGGTAGGAGAATGGAACTCAGAAGGCACAGAGGACACTGGAGGGACAAGATATTTCAGAACACTGGGAAGGCAGGGAGGAGACCAAAGCTACAAGAATACAAGGATTTTGGAGAACACTTGGAAGCACAGGGGCTCAACTTAAATGTAGCGATGTGTTGCTTGAACTCTGTGCCATGCCTCTTCATTTACACCATTGGCAACAAGGAGAGCTATCTCTGTGAGTTCCTTGGCCTCAAGGTGGAACTCAGAAGTGCTGGTGGACATGCAGTGGAAAGGAGCCCTGGTGCTGGATCTTGAGGTGAGGTGAGTGTTAACACCACAATCCACTCATCTGATCCCCAGTCCAGAAGATGCAAGGTACAAAACTGTACCTGAGGTTAGAAAGGCAGCAAGTGGTGAGGTATAACAGGTCAGGAAATTGTGGAGCATAATGGAGACTGAGTGCGCACAAAAGTGTCATGGGGGTGCACAAGAGCCTTCTGGAAGCACAGGGGTACACAGTAAGGTACATGGAGAAACCAGGGTGCAGATGGGTGCACTTGGAGCCATGGAGGCTGCATAGGTTGACAGGCATTATTGAGGCACACTGGAAGCACAAGAAAAGCACAGAAGAGGCCTGGATACACAAGGGAGCACATGGAGCCATTGATGCACACTGGAGACATCAGGATGCATTTGACACAGAGGCACACAAGGGTGCACTGGAGATACGGGGGCACAAAGGAAGCAGTTGGAGACACAGATGCACACAGTGGCATACAGGTGCACTAGAGGCATCTGGAATCATCAGACAACTGATGAGGCATGGGAAACACTGGGACTTAGCAGGCATGTAGGAGATTAAAACTCAGGAGTTAAAGAAGAACACCGGTACTCAAGAGGTATGGAAGAGACAGAGACTCAGGAGGCACGGAAGACACTTGAGGGACAGGGATACTGCAGGACATTAGGACTTAGAAGGCAGGGAGGGACCAAAGGATTGTAAGCTCATACACTGCATCTCCCCTTACTATTCACACCAGGGGCAATCAGGAAGTCTATCCCTTGCCCATGAGATCAGGGGACCCATGATCTTCTTCAAGGTTCAAGCTCTTTCAATCATTTGTTTGCAAAAGTTTTCCACATGAAATCTTAGAGTCCAGGATTTGGTGAATCTATATTTTTTGGGATGAATTGGCTGAGATGAATGAAGGGCGCTAGAACATATTCAGGGCCGAAGTTTTAAGCAGGGAAACATGAGAGATCCAACTTAAGATCCAGAGGAAGACAATGTTTGTAGTAGACTGGATTAATCTTTGCAGTGATTAAAAACAGTCTGGTTTAAAATGTGGGGCAAATTTCTTGGAGGGAACCTGGAGAGGAATGTTTAATGATTGCAAGCTAGGCTTTGTCCACAGGTTGGAGAAGTGGAGCTTGACAGTGCAGATCTGCAAATTTCTTGAATCTGAGGACAAAGTGCTGGAGCCAGTTTTGGATTTGGGACAAAATTTGGGTAAGGTCTTTCCATGTAGCACACAGCACAGGGATCTCTGGAGAACACACTATAAGCAAATTAAGACATGGATGCTTGATATAGATAATGAAGAATGGGGACTCCTTAGTGATGACATAAGATGATTATTGTGAACAAATTTTGCCCAAGGCAGGATGACAACCCAATCATTATGAAGGACATACACTAGGGAATGAAGATATTGTCTGTCATTGATAGGCCAAAACTGCTAAGAAATATGCAGAGCCTTGCAGAGGTTTTTTCCAAAAGCTAAATCTAAAGATAAGTTGAACCCTGCAGTTGGAGACAAGGTGGGATGGCATGCCAAGATTTCCCAGATGAAGACAGGCACCAAAGCTGCTGCCATCTTGGAAAAGAGGGGCACCGCTATCCAAATAACTGTACTACCCTCAGAAGGAGGGAGGTTAGTAATATTGTCCATAGACAGGTGGTGCCATGGTTCTGTGGGAAAAGGTAGGAGTAGAAGATGTCCTTCAGGTGACTTGGTCTAGGCACAAATCTCACAAGCCTTAATGTAGTCCCCTACATTCTTTTGCCGATTAGGCAACCAGTACAAGTGGGAAATATATGTAGGAGTTCTTTAGACAACCGAAAGGCCAGAGAACTTGGAGTCGTGGGCCCAACATAGAAGTTTGGTTCTTTCTCTGGAGGGACTAGACTCTGGGGATAAAGGTCTGGGGGATAAAGGTCATTAACAATATGTGAGTGGTCAGAATAATTAATTCTACCTCAGCAGGAGCATTTTAGTCCTGGGAATCAAAAGTGTGTAATAGCTGGTCAGTTCTGGAATTGGTGGACCCCAGTAGAGATGAGCTGAGTATTCAGAGTGAACATTTAGGGCATTCAGCCTAAAACGAACATAACAACTTCCTGCTATCAATGGTTGCTAAGGAAGCAGCGGGTGCCTGCATCCGTCGCAGCCTTACAAACCACTAATGTCACCCAGCCTATTCATTTATATGGCCTAGAATCTGAGACTCCATAACAAAGGGGCGGAGTTAGGGGGTGACATCATTGCCTAAATATGATCACATAGCTATATTTGGGCAATGATGTTACCTCGTCCTGTCCTTTATATTGCTGATGACAGCTCGGGAACTAGCCCCTTTTGGTTGTCGGGTATTTTCTTTCTGTGGACATTGAGCATCGTGACTCATGTGGATCTATCTCATGGGACTTTTTACATTTTTCTTTTTTTATTTAATAAAGAACTTGTCAAAAACTGTCTGTGTATTTATTTAAACGTAACTTTTTTTTGTGAAAGAGTAAGGGTACTATGGATTCCAGTGACGTCATTGACCATACATGGTCATGTCCATATATAGTCAGTGGCATCATGTGGGAGACCCTGCACCTTTGTATATATTCACTGTCATCCTTTATTGTTAAAGGGGGCTTAAAGATTCCAATAATTTAGGACTTGTGGAGAAGAGGCCCTTGTCCTCATCACCATGATGCCTTCTGGGGAAGGGGGGTTTTGTTTTAGTTGTTTTTTTGGGTTTTTTTGCACGGGGTCCAACTTAAAAAATATACCAGATCTGAGATACCCCATGCCTTCAGGATGAAGAATCATGAAGTTATCCCAAAAAGCTCACATCTTTAACAACTTAGGATAAGCCAACAAAGGGTATTACCTAAACTTCAAAATAATTGCTGCTTAAAATGGTACAACACTCTATTACTAAACAAAACATTGAATAGATCAGCTGAGTTTTCAAGTGTAGGATTACATTTCTGGTCATTCAAGTGTGTTGGGATGCAGGGTAAACTTAGACTTCCCATTACTTGACAATGGACTCAAGCTCTTTTTGCTGAATTATTAGTCCTTTTAGGCTATTTGGCTAATAATAGTGTATTCTGAGTCTACCCCAGAGTTTACTCCTAGCTGGCTATGTCTTCAGTAGAAGCCCACCAAACAGCATCCAAATATAATACCAAACTGACTTTTCAAATAGAGGAAGCAGCAACTACTGTGACAGTGTGGCGATCTGTCACCCAGAATTCTCAACAAGGCAGGTTGAGGGGCTCCAGGGTAAGTGTTTGATATGGAGGAAAGTGGCTTTTCACTTTCCTCCTTTGTTTGTAAGGTCCATTTTGGGACCTGGAGCCTGAAGATTTCAAAGCGATTTGGGAGGGATGAAATCTCCAATCCTGGGACCAGGTTTCGGAAATGGCCAGGATACTGATTGCTCAGGTGTGCAGGGCAATCTTCTAGGGTCAGGACCAGGGTTCTGGGCTCCACCCCAGCAGACGGAGTCAGGAGGGCTCCACCCCAGAAGACAGGAGTCAGGAGGGCTCCACCAAGGAGAGGCGGAAGCCAGACTAGCTGTGTGCTAGTGGCCAGCTGTGTGCGAGAGCCATAATTTGGGAAGAGTCTGCAGGAGACAGACATCAAACTGAGTACAAGCCAGGAGGCTGAATCTTTGTTGTTTTTGCTTGATGGTGGATACCCCTGCGTGGGAAGCTTTATGTTACGGGACGTTCTTTTAAATAAATTGGGCAAAAAGGCCCTTAAAAAGAAGCGAGTTGCTCTGTGCTTTTGAAAGGAAAAGCTCTACCACTGGAAGCGAGTTCCCACACTACATATATTAAGAATAATAATTAGACTATAAATAGCTTTACTGTAAAGGTGATTTTTTTTAAAAAGCACTATTCTTACCCATTGTAATGTTGGAAAAGCCAAGAGTAATGAGCCTTTCCTTGTGCTCATTCAGTTGGTGCTTTGATTCCGTTAGTATGCCATTAGCCCAGAGAAGAAGGTTAGTAAACACAGCATGGATCAAACCAAACCTAAAAGGAAAAAAAAAAAAAAACAATAAAACAACTGAAACCCACACCCAAATAATCAGTAAGCGCATTCCTTCCCTGACCATAAAGAAGAATTTATACTTTTTTTTCAGGACATTGTTTATATGTGTATTTATGTAACGCGGATGTGTTAAGAAGCACCTTAAATAATATATGTAGAGATCTTTAAATCTGACCCTGATCCAGAAAACTTACAATTGAATGCCAACTTATATTAATATGGTGTTATTATTTTTTTACCTTTAAGTTTTTATTGGGTCCTTCCACAGCATTGTACTATGTACAGACATAAAATCAGATATCAAGAATCAAATCATCGCCAGTAACATGAAAAAACAAAAAGAATCAACAGTATATCCCCATTGTGTAGCAACACACAGTACCTAAGGGATACAGAAAAGTACCCTGTAAAATTCAGGGACATAGTACAACATCTAAGCAACCTGAAGTTTGATTATGTAAAAAGACAGTATTTTTTGTGTATGTGTAGAACAAATCTGCTTGCAACTAAAAGAGGGAAAGAAGAAGAAAAAAAAAAGCAGGGCATGGAGGAGACAGTGGAAAAAAGAGAGGGAACGGGAGAAAAGGAAGGGTAAAGGCAAGGTTAAAAGCAGTCACCCTTTCCCTCACGCAAACAAAATCACTGAAGAAGAAATCCCCCAGACCAGACCACCATTCAGTGTGAAATATGAGGTCACTGAGCAAGGTAAGAGCGGTAGTTCAGAGGAAACTGGAAAGCATTCCAATACAACCATGTTTTATAATTAATCCAAGCATTTTGTTGTATTGATTACATTATGCCTCCATACATTGTAAACAATACAGAATAATAAAAGGATAAAAAAGAGATCATTGTAGTCACTGATGCACTGCAGATGAAGCACAATTTTACTCTGAAAGTAGTGAAGCTACTGTCAAAGTTTTGGGATAAAACTGGAGTAGCTGGAGAAAATCCATACAGAAATATAGAATCTCAATGCAAATAGAGTTATGGATGAGAATTCAAAACCATAGTGCTAAGTAAGCCATCATGTTTAGTATGTTATAAATAAAAGCTCTGCCTTTCTATACCCAGCCTTTAAGCATGTGCACAATAACACATTTTCAACAGCACTTCAATATTACCAAGGTGTCATGGTCAGGGGTCAGGCTTGGAGACTAGTACCTATAGCAGTAGAGAGGCTACCACCAACCAGCAGGATAAGTACACAAGCAGATCACCCTGCCGGATGACGCATGTAGGCAAGTGTAAGTTGACCTCCCTCCACAGGTGGAGCTGTCACAACAGTCATGCAGGAAGAATGGAGGACAGGAGGAATACACATTCCTCCTAGGCCTCCATACATGTCATCGAGTAAGCTGCTGTCCGATTGGACAAGGCTGCCCCAAGTGACCCCCATGGTCATCTTTAGTAAGGGCAGTGTCACCTGGCCTCCTCCCACCTACTCGCAAGCTCACCCGAGGTGCAGGATCTAAGCACTAACTGGTATTCGCCAGAGCTCCTGATTGTGGAGATGGGTTTTGCTGTGTTAGTACAAGGTCATGGTCCTCAGGATAGCCTCACCAGGAAATGAGCAAGCCTGGGTCCAGTAGCAGAAAAAGCAGGTAATGATCAAGTAGATACATAGTCAGTAAGCAAGCCAAAGGTCGGTAACAAGTGGTTGCAGGTTGGAATCATGCAGAAGCATAGTCGAGGAATCAGCCAAAGGTTGATAACAAATGGTTGCAGGTTGGGATCAAGTTGAAGCGTAGCTGAGGAACAAGCAAAAGTGGAGATAAGGACAGCTGAAAGTACGCAAAGGAGCAAGATAATGGCTAGAGAGAGCACAATGATCTGGCAAATAGGAAGTGCCAAGTCATGCCTTAAATAGGAAGTTCAAAGAGTTCAAAGTTCACCAGAAACAAGATATAGAGCAAGATTGCCCGAGGGATCAGACAGGATGCTGTCCAGCATCTCAGGTGGCTCAGCTAGAAGAGTAACTGCTGGACACAGCACAGGTTGTGGGTTCAGAGCCCAGTCCTGACATAAGGACAACAGTAGTGTTTATTGAAGATCTGTAGCACTATTATATTAAAAAAATAAATATTTTCTTTGCAAAGCAGTTTTATAAGATTGAAGTTTTTAATATACTAACAATAGAATAAAAAAATCAAACACAATTTACCTATAACTCTGCCACCTCCCTTTCTCTCCCCCTCCCTGTTGGAGTCCCCCAAGGCTCTGTCCTCGGACCCCTCCTCTTCTCCATCTACACCTCCTCCCTTGGCAAACTGATACACTCCCACGGCTTCAACTATCACCTCTATGCCGACGACACACAAACCCCTCACCTCACCCCCTCTCTCTCCGCCCGCATCACCCACTTCCTGAACGACATATCAGACTGGATGTCGCTCCATTTCCTCAAGTTAAACCTGTCCAAAACCAAGCTCCTAGTTTTCCCCCCAGCCCGCGCCCCCCCCCCCCCCATCCTCTCCAGCAACGCCACCATCAATCCCACCCTACACGCCAAAGTCCTCGGTGTCACCCTGGACTTAAACCTTTCCTTCCAACCCCATGTCCAATCACTATCAAAGTCATGCAGGCTCCACCTCCGCAACATCTCCAAGATACGTACGTTCCTCACCCCAGACACTACTAAACAACTCGTACACTCCCTCATTATCTCACGCCCGGACTACTGCAGCTCCCTTCTCACTGGCCTACCCAAACCCAAACAAATGCTATCCCCACTCCAGTCTATCCTGAACTCAGCGGCTAGACTCATCCACCTTACCAACCGCTCCACATCTGCCAGCCCCCTCTGCCAATCCCTTCACTGGCTCCCGATTGTCCAATGCATTAAATTCAAATTACTAACTCTGACATACAAAGCCATTCACAACGCTGCCCCAAACTACCTCACTGACCTGATACCCAAATACCACCCTACCCGTGCCCTTCACTCCTCACAAGACCTCCTACTCTCTAGCTCCCTGGTCTCCTCCTCCCACGCCCGACTGCAGGACTTCTCCGGGACTTCCCCCATCCTCTGGAACTCCCTACCCCAATCCATCAGACTGTCACCTACCCTCCTCACCTTCAGGCGCACCCTGAAAACCCATCTCTTCAGGGAAGCCTACCCCACCCTCACCTAACAACCGATCTCCTCCACTCCTCCTACCACTCCATCCCCCACAGCCACTTCCTCCTGTACCACTATCCCCTCCCTCCTAGATTGTAAGCTCGAAAGAGCAGGGCCCTCGAACCCCTCGTGTATTGTATTGTACTGTATTGTCTCATGTTCTGTCCCCCTCGCTAATGTACAGCGCTGAGCAAACCCTTTGGCGCAATATAAACACTGTATAATAATAATAATAATGGAAACCCAAAAGCTAGACGTCTAGGACATGCTGCTGTGCAACATAGGGGCCAGAGACGAAAGGAGTCTATAGAAGGTAGCCACATAGAAGATTTGGAGGACCACTCATCTGTGGGAATGAATTATTTACTCTGGGTTTGGTTTGTGAGCCACCTGTCAAACCCATAGTAAAGTCCAAAAATTGAGAAACACCATTGAAGATTTAGGGCTAATAGCCAAGGGATTGTAAAAGAAAGGCCACGTGGATAGAGGTATTTACTTTAAAAGCACAGGTGACTGAGATAGATATTTCCTGTAATTCAAAGGGCTATTATTTAAAGGCTAAGTTCACCTTTTCAGGCAGAATTTCACTTTTCAAAATAAATCAAAGCCTTTTCTAATGTCTTTTCTGCCAACCCATCCGAGTGTACTTATTTCTTACTTACCATGGCAGTTTTGAATCTTCACCTCTCTTCTGCATGTAAAAAAATTGATTCTGAGCTCTGATTTCTTGTAGTATCATGTGGCATTCCAGGAAACATCATGCATTGACTTACCACATCACAGAATAGGGAGTGTTTTACTTCTCTGAATCACACCTCCCTCATTACTATACCAACTTTTTTTTTTGTTTCCACACACTTTCCTACATATAAGGTGTCCATGCATTGCACAATCTAAATTTTACAATCTCCTTTAGATCTACAATTAAATATATAATGTATGGGCAAGTCTGATTTGATAGAAATTGAATGGATTGTTCAGGTGGGTCCTCCAATTACATAGTTTTGGTAAAATCTAAAGGAAATTGTATAGAGAATGTACAATCAGATTGCATACTGTATGGGGTACAATCTTTCCACTAAGGCTGTTATGTGATTGCAATTTCCTTTAGATTTCCCAAAACTATATAATAAGAGGACACTCCTATCTATCCAATCACTCTGTATCCAATCAGGTAGGCCCTTGCACTACATAGTTTATGGTAGATACTTTTCTTCCTTTTCCTAAAAAAAAAGGTTTTCTAAAGAAAATTCTGGAGTTTAAGGAAAGCAAATTTAATGATTGTAGCGAGAGGTTTAAAAGGTTTTTTTATTTAGATCCTGAATTTGACACAACTTCAAAAATCTCCTAAACACCTAACTCCAAACCTCTATCAAACAATTATAAATTTTTATCAGGCCCAACTAGTAGACGTATAGCCTGTACAAAATCTGAAAACGAAAGATTACTACTATTTTTCTCAAATGTTACATTGTTACAACATAAGCTACTAGAACCCCTTACCTCTACATTTATCAAAAAAGATCATGCTTTTGGATCATGCCCCAATAGCCATTATTGTATACCTATCAAAAATATGTCACGCTTACCCCTAACACAGGTGGTCAGACACCATAGCTGGTTTTTGTGTTCTTCACCTATAACAGCCCCCTTTCCCATAAGGCAAGTAGGCCTACCAGTACTCGGTTGCCCCAAGGACCAATACACAATGCTATAGTGTCTGGCTACCATACCAAGGCAGGCACGAATTGAGCATAGCAAACATGTACTTGGCAGACAGGCAGAGA